TTGACTATTTGCCTTGCTGGTTCACTGGACCTGTACTCTGGGTAAGGAGCAGGCTGCCTGTTCTGCGGGCTTTGCAGCTTGTGATTTGGACAGGCTGGCGGGATAGCTCGGCCGTAAGGGGATGAAGGTCACAGCAGACAGGGAGCAGCTGGCAGAGCGGGGCCACGACCACACTGTGGCCCTGAGCACTACCCAGCCGGGGGACTATTTGCCTTGCTGGTTCACTGGACCTGTACTCTGGGTAAGGAGCAGGCTGCCTGTTCTGCGGGCTTTGCAGCTTGTGATTTGGACAGGCTGGCGGGATAGCTCGGCCGTAAGGGGATGAAGGTCACAGCAGACAGGGAGCAGCTGGCAGAGCGGGGCCACGACCACACTGTGGCCCTGAGCACTACCCAGCCGGGGGAGCCTTTGCACTTACTTGAAGCCGCCTGCCTCTAGCTGGCAGAGGGCTCGTTCCCCTGGTCTCAGCCCGTCCCAGCCCCATGGCCGTGGGGCAGCCCAGCAGCCCTTGGCTCAGGAAGCTCCGGTCGTTTTCTACATGCAAAGGCGCCGTGGCTGCGGCGAGGCCTGGGGCTGGGCAGAGAACAGGGAGTAGAGTCTCCACAGCACAGAGCTTCATGCGCTTGCAGCTCCCCGCCGGGAGCACGTTTGCGGCGGGCGGCTGGGAAGCCCTACGGGGGAGCCAGAAGCTCGGCAGTGGCAGGTTTAGTCCGACAGCCCCTGAGCTTTGGGATCCCCTCGCCGTGGTGCTGGTATCGATTCCGGGAGGGGGGGGCAATTTTCTTGTCCCGTTTTCGTTACTGCATCTGCTGCAGCATCCGGCCAGGCTTGCTGATCACACAGCTCTCCCTTCCTCCCTTCGGTGCGAGCGTCAGATTAGCAAATCAATGGCACGTGGGGACGAGCGTGAGCCAGGCTAGCCGATCCGGCCTGCGCGCTCGCCGTGGTGCTGGTATCGATTCCGGGAGGGGGGGGCAATTTTCTTGTCCCGTTTTCGTTACTGCATCTGCTGCAGCATCCGGCCAGGCTTGCTGATCACACAGCTCTCCCTTCCTCCCTTCGGTGCGAGCGTCAGATTAGCAAATCAATGGCACGTGGGGACGAGCGTGAGCCAGGCTAGCCGATCCGGCCTGCGCGACTGTCCCGGCCGCCCAGCAGCGCAGTCTCTTGCTCGCAGCCCCCCGGGCCGGCGGGTCCCAAGTCTGTTCCATTCCCAGCCCAAGGAAACGCCGCTGGGAAGTGCAAAATAGGCCTGAAGAAGCCATGTGCCCCAGGGGAAGCTCACCGGCTTGCCGCATCCAGATCCTCTTCCAGGTTCATCCCAGCCAGTCCAGGTCGTCGTCGTCGTCGTCCCCAAAGAGCGGGGCAGGGGGCGGGTGCCCCTTCATGCTCTGAAAGCCCAAATGGAAAGCGGGGAGCGGCGGCTCTGCAGCCCCCGACATGGCCCACCCCCCAGGTGTCTCGGGGCTCAATTCCCTCGTGGGTCTCCAGTCCAGACGAATCTGGGGCTGCCAAAGCCTCACCAGTGAGGGCTAAAGTAACTGAGGGCGCGTACGCAGGGGGAGCTGTGGGGTGGCAGCCAGGAGGCTCCCCCGTCCCAAAGTTACTCCAGAGCAAACTGGCTGAACGTCTCGGTCATTCCAGCGGGGACAGAGACCGGGGAGGCATCTGCAAGGGACGTGGGCGGCCCTGCACCCACCTCTGGGCACTTGGGAAAGGCCCAGGACCACCAAGCCAGAAAGCCCAAACAGGCTCCAACGTGCCCTAGGAGACACCAGGTGCAGCGATGTCAGAGCTCCGGTTCCCTGGCTCTAGCATCCCGGCAGCTACCCACAGTGGGAAGCGGAGCCCCACATCACCCTGTCCACAGCCAGCGGTTAGATGCCCGTTCAGGGGAGCACACCACTGCCTCCCGGGGGCTGTGGGGCGCCTAAGCCAGCAGGCAGCCTGAACATGGGCCGGGAACGGGGCTCACGTGCCACTTAGATGGACAAACCCCAGCCGCCCCAGGGCTTTGAGCACTAGGGAGGAGACGGGCACCTGGAGGCCCAGCAGGGAGAACAGCGCACGTAAACCCTGACGTGGAACCGACACTCCCTCGGCCACACGGCTCGCCGGCCTTTAACCCTAGCAGGAGCCAGTTGGGCGAGTCGGCGAAG